TGCACTTCAAGAAATCGGCTGGTATCCCATTTGATCCAGTCGTGCTGCAAATCTCCTCAAAATTCTCGATGTGGTCCATCGGAATCTCAGCAGGAAGCCCATGAAAGAGGTGCTGCTTCACCAATGAGATCAGCTGAGGTTTGATCTCAAAGTCTTGCCTCTGAATGGTTGGAGGAGCAATTGCAGCCCTGTTGTGATAGTAAGCATGCGGACTGTCCTTGTCTCCAATAGCAGGCTGTGGCTGCTCCCTGTCTTGCTGCGCCTTTTGCAGCTGCTCCAATTGTTGTCGAAGCTGTTGAACCTCGACAGCCATGTTGCCATTGTTGCCTTGATCGCCCATGTTGGCTTGAATAGGCCTTTGACGTCTGTTTTCTCGCTCGACTCTTGCTAGATCGGTGTTTGATAAAGAAACAAGATCGGTGCAGTTGCTCCTTGTGGATATGTTTGACATACACCTGAAACACACGCAAACAAGAGAACAAGAGAGAAAAATTAGTAAAGCCTTAGTCTGAATTTCAAACCAAAAATCAAAGGTAACGAATTGGTCCCCGGCAACGGCGCCAAAATTTGATTCTCACTAGATATACTCCTAGTTTGTACTGCAATAGAACAGTGATGTAGTTGTAATATAAAGGATTCGAAATCCAGAGGACCAGTGTTACTCTATGAATTTGTGAGGATTGAATTAAAGCTAAGACGAAAGATGGTTTGTTTCAAAAACTAAAAAGTAAACAGAATGGCAAACAACGATTTAAATTCAAATTAAAACAAGCACTAGACCAAAGCAATTCGCAGGAATTTCAGAGATAAGAATCAGATGACTGTTCAGGGCACAAGTGTAACGCAAGTCTCGAACTCAAACAGAAAAGCTTATCGATCCACTGTCGTGATCTCGATAACTTTGTCTAACAACCTAAATCCTAAACTGTCGTTTGAACTTAGAAAATTGCAGACAAGCATTAGCTAGCAGGTTTGATCTGTTCACGATTTGCCTTAACTTCAACTGTCGTTGGCTAAGGACAAATCGCTCACCAATGTTTATTCTAGCAACCTATTACACTTTTGATGAATAGATTAACCTAAAATCGCAGATTGAGTGATCAATTCAACCTAAGCATTAAGTCTAACAATGGTGAAGACAATAGATATCAAGCCCTATTTGCATCTAATCCTTTAACTCATGAAATCCTTTGAACGCTTTAATCTAGCTAAGAGATCTACTCAGACATGGAGAAAAGAAACACAGAAACAGATGGAAAGGAATTCATGAATTAAAATCGCAGAAGAGATAATAGGATTCAGAATTCTTCTCAAAGTGTAGCAGATTTCTTCTCCCAAAAGCTTACAAGTAAAAACTCTATGGTTCAGGAAATTGTAAAAAGAAAGCGTAGTAGTAAAGATAGGCGGCTTGGACTCCTTTTATTCCTTTCACGCGGCTTGAGATTAGGTAAAGATGTTTTCCTTATTTTTCTCCCGTCTGGAGCAGGTGCTCCACGAAGGGTCCAAACCGGGAGCAGGTGCTCCGGGGATGATTTCTCCAAAAACGTGTGAAATAGCTCCTTATTGCTCAAATTCATCTCTTTTTGCTCCAATGCCTCCTAAACACTCCAATCCTTTGATAAGGCCTCCAAGTCACCTGAAACTTCCTGAAAAGACTCCAAAAACTCCTAAAACAATTAGTAAACACAAGTTAGAATGAGTCAAAATCTCCACTCATCATGTACATAATCCAAGATAAACGTTACGGGGTTCTTCAGCAAACCGGGGATGTAAATCTTGAAAATATTGCCACTCTGCAGCATCAGAGGGATGACACATTTCACCCTCTTTTGCTTGGTGCTCAGCATGCCATCTCATTGCCGCTGCAGTCTTCTGGCTCTGATACATCCTCTTCAAATCTATCACCAATAGGTAGATACCACATACGACTATATGGTATTCTGGTTCGTGAACGTCGTCCTTCGTTAGGCTTATATCTTGGTGAGTGACAGAATTTACACTCCTCCCACATTTAATCTTCTTTCCAGAAGATCATACAATTATTAATACAAATATCAATTTTGTGAAATGGAAGCCCCAAATTTCTCATCAATTTCTCTGTCTCGTAATGTGACCTGGTTGACTGATTTCCTTCTGGTAAATACTCTGTAAACACAGATGCCCACGAATCCACACACTTTACACTCATATTATAATATACTTTATTTTGCATGAACCGAGCAGCTAAAGATAACTGCGAGTGACCTTCATGATAACCATCATATAATGGTTTTTTTCCAGCTTCTAACAAGTCGTATAAAATTGTTGAGGATGGTTAAGCACCGGTTCTTGTACATTCTGATAACTATCTTCTTGATGATATGTATCATCTTGATGATAATTACCATGAAATGCATCATTCACCATATCCACATATCTATCTCCTACTATATTACCCATATCTTCTTCACTCCAATTTAAATGAGTTGTATTATCATAACTAGTTCCATAATCCATAGTAATTTCTTCCCCATGCTTATACCAAATATAGTAATCTGGCATGAACCCTTTACTAAAGAGATGGTTCCAAATTTTTTTTCCCGGAAAAAAATTATTAATTTTGCAAACACTACAAGGACAGTAAAATGTACTGCCATTACTCTGTGTTAGCGTCTGGTTGTTCGCAAAATTCATAAATTGTTCTACTCCGGATACAAATTCCGAATGGAAATTTCTCGTCTCTTCGTCGATCCGTTTATACATCCACTCTCTATTATTATTATTATTACTGAAATTTCCACACATTATATCTAGAAACGCTCTCCAGAACTTCGGAGCTTATAGATTGTGATTGTGAGTGAATGGAAAGAAGATGCGTGGTCTGTATATATAGAAAATTTTACGACTCATTTGCTACTGATTTGCGTCTAAATAGCTACTGCCGTGTTTTAGTCGTAAAAAACCAGTACACCTACCACAAAAGTTAAAACACGTGTTTTTTATTAAGCGACTCGACAAATAAGTCGTACATTGGTCGGTAATTAACGACTAAAGTACGACTGTTTGTATTTAATATTAATTAGCGACTGTTTGACGACTACTATTAATCAGTCACTATTCCGTCATGGAGTAGTCGTGATACAGTCGTAAAACTTAACGACTGTTAAAACAGTCGTAAAATGCAGTCGCCAATTTCATGTTTTCTAGTAGTGGAGACATCTTCGAAGTGAACGTATTAAATATTAAAATCAAAACCAACTTAAAAACTATAACGTACATAAATAAGCATCAATGATAAACCTCACTAAGCTCGTAAGATAAATTTTAGAAGACTAAAACATTACTTAAATCGTCATTCAATAGTTCAAAGATAAAATTTAAATTTTAAAATACCAAGATATTTAGTCGAGAAACTAGGGAGCTCCTTCTGATTGTATGTACATTTATGTAAAAGGATTGTGTAACTAAACTCTGGAAATTAATATTTATTATACAATCTGATGTATATTTATTAGATATGTGAAAGTAAATGAATAAGAAGACGTTGAAAAATAAGATGAAAGTTATAGACGGAAAAAAACAAGAAGAAAAAAATAAAAATAAAAAATGTTGGAGTATTTGAAAACGATGAAGAAGTAGAAGAAAAAAAAGAATAAGGAAAAGAAAGAAGTAGAAAAGAGGAGAAAAAAATGATAAATTGAAAGATGAAAAAAAAAAGACAAAGCTGATGATAAAAAAAATTAAAAAGACGAAGAAAAAGTCAAATAATACTCTTGAGAATAAGGACAAGATGGGTAGCACAAAATCGTGAAGAAGAATGAGGCTTGGAATATGAGGATATTGGAGTTGAAGACAAAAACCGGTAGAAAACAAAAAAAAAATCGAAGGATGAAGAAGGTAAAAACGCAAAAGAGACGAAGAAAACCAAAAGATAAAAAATTTGGATAGGACAAAGAAGACCATGAAGAAGTAAGAAGAAAATGATGAAGAAAAACTTAAAAAGAAAAAGAAAAAGAAGAATTTAGAGAATACAAAAATAATGAAGAAGAAGTCAAAGGCAATGAAAAAAATGGTAGGAAGATATGAGAAAGAAAAAAAACTAAAAAATAATGAAAATGAAGAAAGAAAATTAAGCAAAGACAAAGATGTTGAAAAAAAAAAGATGAATAGTTTGAGGAAGAAAAACCAAACTACCAAAGAATTGATTAATAACAGATAATTCCAGCAAAACATGAAGAGATTATTAGACAGATAATTCATAAACTTAATTTATAATGACTAATTTACCTATATTATGATAACATGATTTTGTGTCCATGCTTGCAAGAAAGATGTTAACCGACAAGAATAAGAGACAATTTCCATAAAACGTGAGAGAGTTCGAGACTATGTTAGATATGAAACCTAATATGGTATTAAAACTACTAAAGAGATTGTTTACCTATATTTTTATGTTGTTGTGTGTAGTACTAACAAGAAAGAAAAGAACCGCAAAAAGAGACATTGTTTCCCTTAAACAGAAAAAAAGTCCTAGCTTTGGTGAACGGTAAATTATATACACTCATAAATTTAATGTATATATAATGACTAATTTAGAGATCAAATTAAACTTGATTTCAAAATTACAAAATTCTTTACCTATGCTCTATAACTATAATTTTTATCCACACTTGTAACACATATACAAATCAACAAGAAAAAACAACATTTTTTGCATAATAAAGAGAAATTCCGGCTAAAAAAAATAATTCAATAATTCATTGACTTAGTGCATACAAATAATGATTATTTTAGCGATAAAAATTAATAACTTCAAAACAATCAAAATAATTTTTTTTTTAATTATTGTAACTATTTGAGGAAGCGTTGTACCCGCTCCCTAAACACCTAGTTAAAGTTTTATTTATTTAATTTTCTCTCAAAAAACTGCTATCCAAAAATATAATTTCCCAAAAATATATCGTTTTTAAACTAAACTTGTTTTGCGATATTTGTGAGACATATTGAAGTTACAAACTTACATCGACTTGAGATATGGAAGCTTTTTTAGCTGAGGCGGAAGTTTCCCAGGAAGACTCATGGTCTTGAGATATCTGTATTTTTTCAAATGCAACAAAAAATTATAATTTGTGTGTGAAAAAAAAACACACACAAATCAAACGAAGAGAAGACAGAAGAATGACACCAACAAGTCTGTAATATGACATGTCAAGTTGTTACAATGATCACAAATAATGGTGTTGTTCGTATCCTTATTTGAAACAAAATCAACAGTTTTTAGAGTTCTCAAACGGCAAGGATCTCCAGATTTTAAGTCCAATCTCTTGATACCAAGTGTATTAGCTATCTTCTCCTTTAGCGCATTCACTGCATTAATTTAGCAGAAAACACAAATTATAAACATCAATATATATATAGTTTCGAAAATGGTCATTCTTCACATACATTCATCTGGATGAAGTGGTGAAGAGGCCGATGTTGCTAGAGTTGCGAGGAAGATTGTGATGGTGATAGTGAAGAATATAAGAAAACTTAAGAAAGCGGTTGACATATCGATAGAAATGATATAATGATTCTCCGTATGTGTATTTTTTTTGTTAATCACAATGCCATCATCAGCAAGTGATTCAGTGGTTATATAATATATAGAAAATTGTTTAATATTTCTTTTTTAGGATTTTATGGGGTCGTCGGCGACTAGAGAATAGAGATATATACTGACACAAATGAAAAATTAATGAGTTGATAATGTTGATGTCGAAGTTGTAGCGGTAAATAGAGAGGCTCATGAATGATTGACGTTTTATGTCTCCTTCTTATGGGTTTGATTGATTAATTAAAAAAAAAACACTTAGGACGAATATTCATGCAGTGAGTGACTTCTTTAATTGGATTTGATGCATTCTTACTATATAGATGATAGATCTTAGAATAATTTCTTAAAAAATGTTCTTCTTTGTTCTTATTTATCAAAGTGCTTTTTGTAAAAATCAAAATTCTACCATTGCAAAAACAGAAAGTCACAACATTCCCGTTTAGAGCCGTTCCAACAACCATGTCATAAGTATTATTGAAAAGGAGTATACAGTGATCTAACTCGAAGATAAATCCTTCAATCACTATCATACTATAATTTATTTCCGGTCAGTTATTTCCAGTATATTAATATTTTAAATTAACTGAAACTTGAGATTGATAAATGTAAAACCAGAGCCCAAAAAAGAGAGTAAAATCGTTGAAACAACACATAATATCGTTTATCTTTCATCCGTTATATTGGCGGGTGTGGTTTTAGATATCAATCCGACCTAACAACCAGAACCAGAATAAATAAATTAAGTGTTATTTTTCCACATTGATTGAATAAGTAGATGTATACAGAAAAGGAGTCAAGGCAAATAATAAAACACAAAATCACATTAGTACATGTTGATAAAGAAAGCTTTTAAAGCCAAGTCTCCAGGACGTGGTAAACTTAATGTAACACCCCGATTCTTGGTTCTGAAGGAAACCAGAATAAATCGAAATATTAACTAATCTAAACTAAATAAATTCCAAATAACCAGTTATTCTTTATTCAAATTCAAACCCAAATCCAAGTCTTACAATAAAAATGAAATAACTTATTAAATCCGAAATAAAATAGAAGCAGTCTTAAAAAGAAATATGAAATAGTTCTTAAAAACAATAAAACTTTCTCCATTTCTGAAGGCACACTACACTAGAACTAGTCGTCTAGTTCTTCCCAGACATCATCACAATCACCACCACAATCACCTGCACATCGGAATTTAGAGAGAGAGGGGTGAGTAATTTGGGAGAATTACTCAGTGAGAACCAAACCAGGCTCCCGCCTTATTCATTTATTTCCACCAACATATTAAGAATAAATCTAATGAAACCAAACAAGCACTCTACAAGTGCACAAGCAACTAACAAGCAGCAATGTCTCCGATCCCACCTCTCAATAGGCCAAATCACCTTGTCACTCGGACACAGGTCGACATCTCACCCTGTCACACAGACAGACGCCCTATCACTCAGACAGAGACCCTGTCACACAGACAGTCCAATCCCGGCATGCCACATGGACAGTCCTGTGGGTCATCACTCCACCGGATGAATGGATTATTGCCACGGTCACACAGACAGCACATAACCCAGCAAACAAGCCTGCATTTGGCACATTGCTATACCAGAAACAGACTATGACCTTTAGGACTTCTACCAATCACTAACCAATCAACAAGGTTATCAATCAATCATGCTGGTTCTTCCTCTAATGAGATCCTAGATCTTATTAGTTATATATATATATATATATATATGGATCTACCTAGATGCACAAGCAGACAGACCTGTCCCACCAGATCTAGACTCAACACACCAGAAGAAGATAAAGGGATAAGAAGAAAGACCTAGATCTAATCCTCACCTTGGCCTAAAAGCAGATCTGAGATTAAGGAGAACTAGAAGAGGCAAAAGAATCAAGCAGCTTCTGAGAAGGTGGAGGCAGGCGAGTACTCCTTCTTCTCTCGGCAAGCGGCAGCGGCGGCGGCAGCTCTCCTCGGCGGCGTGCAGCTTCTCTTTCTCTCTCTCACTTTCTTTTCTTTGGGGGCTAGGGTAATTAGAGGCAAAATAAGGCTCATTAACTCCTAATTCCCTATTTATATTAGGGTTTCTGGAGTGGGCCTGAATTTGCTGGGCCTCCTCTAATTGGGCTGGGTTTGGGATGTTACAACTCTCCCCTACTTCCATAGAATTCGTCCCCGAATTCTCTTCCACTCCTCTGGTTTCTCCCTTGTCCTTAAAGAGTTTCGGGAATTCCTTCCGCATTTCCTGTTCTACTTCCCAGGTTTCCTCGCAGATTCCAGACCTTTCCCAACATACCTTAACCGCTGGCTTCCTCTTACCATTCAACTCCTTTTCCCGAAATTCCAACACTGCCACAGGCTGATATGCTGCTGAGAAGTCTTTCCTTACATATGCTGGCGGCTGGGGCAAAATGAGCTCTGGCTCCCTCACAACTTTCCTCAAAAGAGAGATATGAAACACATCATGGAACTCAGCTAACTCTTTGGGCAACTCCAAGCGGTAAGCCACTTCTCCAATCCTTTCCAGGATAGGGTACGGTCCCATGTATCTAGGCTTAAGTTTCTTCATCTTTCGATGCTTATCATTCCCTATGAAGGTCCTCAACTTCAGATACACCATATCACCAACCTCAAAAGACAATTCCTGCCTTCGCTGATCTGCATAGCTCTTCTGGCGATCATGAGCTTTTTTCAACCTTGTCTTAAGCATTTCCACTTGCTTAGACGCCTCTTCAAGGAGTTCTGGCTCTAACACTCTCATTTCTTCTACTTCTGTCCAGCACAGATGTGTGCGACAAGGCCGACCATATAGAGCCTCATATGGTGCCATTCCAATGTTACCATGATAACTGTTATTATAAGCAAATTCTGCCAAAGGCAAATGCTTCTCCCAACTTCCTTCCCAATCTAGGACACACGCTCTCAACAGATCCCCCAGGGTCCTAATCGTCCTCTCCGATTGGGCATCTGTCTGAGGGTGGTATGCTGTGCTGAGATGAACCTTTGTTCCCAATGCCTTCTGGAAAGCCTGCCAGAAACTAGCTGTAAACTTTGGATCCCGATCCGACACTATGCTCACTGGGACTCCATGCAACCTCACAATAACATCAATATACTTCTGCGCCAACTGCTCTGCTCCATCCGTCTTTTTAATTGGCAAAAAGTGAGCTGACTTAGTAAGGGCATCTCCATCGCAGGTTCATAGCAGGTTTATAAGTGGGCCCGTGTGCTTTTTTGTGTTAAAATTAATTAAAATCGGCCCATTTTCAGTGATACGGTATGACTGCAGTGATACTGATGATCCCGTATCATCCGAGTATCATCGAGTACGTGGCGTGCTATGATTGGTGCGTGGGTTCAGGGATGAACCCCGAATTACAAGTTCAGGGATGGAGCTCACTTTTCGATTCAGGTTCTTCAATGTTCCGAAAAAAAAAAAAATTATTAAACAATTGCTATGATACCCACTTTGGGGATCAGCAATGGAGATGGCCTAAGGCGGTCTACTATTACTCAAATCGCATTCTTCTTACTTAGTGTCCTGGGAAACCCCGTCACAAAATCCATAGTTACCATATCCCATTTCCATTCTGGTAATGGCAAGTTCTGGAGAAGTCCACTTGGTGCCATCTGCTCTGCTTTTACTTGCTGACATGTAGAACACTGAGATATCCAAGCAGAAATATCACGCTTCATACCAGACCAATGGTAGTAGCGTTTCAGATCCCGATACATCTTGGTGTTCCCTGGATGAATAGAAAACTTCGACTGGTGAGCCTGGCTTAACACTTCCTTCCTTAGCTCATCATTCATGGGAACACAGACTCGATTCCTATACATGTAAGTCCCATTGTCTGCTTTGTGGTACCCAACCACTTGCTTTTCAAAAATCTCCTTAAGGGACAAATCATGCGCTTGCTCCTGACAAATCCTCATTAGCAGGTCAGCATTGTCCAATGCTTCCAATCCTGCGGCATCATCCTCTACTTCAGCGACACACAAACTCAAATTCGCCAAAGTCGCTATCAGCTCCTGCGTTTCCTTAGCCTCAGAAACCGCATTTCTCCTCCTACTCAAAGCATCTACCACTTGGTTGGCTTTTCCAGGATGATAAGAAATTTCCAGATCATAATCAGCCAATAATTCTATCCACCTTCTCTGCCTCAGGTTTAAATCATCCTGAGTGAACACATGCTTCAAACTCTGATGATCAGTATATATGTGCACCTTCTCCCCATACAGGTAAGCACGCCAAATCTTAAGAGCATAGACTACCGCTGCTAACTCCAAATCATGAGTCGGATAATTCACTTCATGCTTCCGGAGCTGTCTAGATGCATAGGCTACGACCTTCTTCTCCTGCATCAACACACATCCTAGCCCGGATCCAGAGGCATCGGTGTATACATCATATGGTATTCCTGACCTTGGAAGTACCAATATCGGAGTCTCTGTGAGTTTCTGCTTCAACTCCTCAAAACTCCGAGATCTCTTATCCGTCCACTCAAACTTAACATTCTTCACCATCAAACTGGTGAGGGGTTTGGCAATACTGGAGAAGTTGGGCACAAACTTGCGATAATATCCAGCCAGACCCAAAAAGCTACGGACCTCGGTAACACTTTTAGGTACAGGCCACTCTGTCACTGCAGTGATCTTCTCAGGATCCATGGCTACTCTCTCTTCTGAGACGATATGCCCAAGGAATCCCATCTTCCTCTGCCAGAAGCTACACTTGCTTAGCTTCGCAAAAAACTGCTGATCCCTTAACTTCTGCAGAATCATTCCCAAACGCCATTCATGCTCTCTCTCCGACCTTGAATAGACCAGGATATCATCAATGAAAACAATCACACACTTATCCAAGTGCTCTCGAAAAATATCATTCATCAACTTCATGAAAGCTGCAGGCGCATTAGTCAATCCAAACGGCATTACCACAAACTCATAATGACCATATCGAGTTCGAAACGCTGTCTTATTGATATCCTCCTCTGCTATCCGAATCTGGTGATAGCCTGACGCCAAATCAATCTTAGAGAACCATGAAGCTCCTTCTAACTGGTCCAACAACTCATCAATCCTTGGCAAGGGATACTTATTTTTGATGGTCACCTTATTCAGCTCTCTATAATCAATGCAAAGTTGAAAGCTTCCATCTTTCTTTTTTACAAATAGCATGGGCGCTCCCCATGGCGAGCTACTTGGCCGAATAAATCCTTTATCCGTCAAGTCCTCCAACTGCTTCTTTAGCTCAGCCATCTCTGCTGGTGCCAATCGATATGGAACCTTCGAAACAGGGGCTGTTCCTGGTTCTAATTCGATAGTGAAGTCAACTCCTCTTCTTGGCGGGGGTCCAGTCAATGGTTGGAATACGTCTGCATATTCATTCACCACTGGTATCTCCTCAAGGTACTTAGATGCTCCCTTTCCTACCATAGAGACTGTCGCCAAGAAAGCTTCACATCTTTCCTCTATAAGATTCTCGGCATGAATCATCGAAATGACTGGCACTCTTGTGTTGGTCTTTACTCCTTGAAAGACAATCCAACCTCCTTGATGCGGAACATAGGCCCTCGACTTCCGGCAATTCAGGACAACTTCATAATGCTTCAGCCAGTCCATTCCAAGGATAACATCATAGCGGCCCAACTTCATTTCCACTAGAGTCCAAGGAAAATCTGCTCCTTCCAACAAGATAGGCACCTCTTCATGGGTTCCAATGGTCTCCACCTGCTCACTTCCAGCAGATTCCACTGCTTTCAACCTGGGGGTGAACTTTCCAGAGAAGGTCCAACACTTGGTCAACCTCGGGCTCACAAAACTATGTGTGGCACCGATGTCGAACAAGGTATATGCAATCGCGCCCCCTACTGAGATCGATCCTACATGATTACTTATATCTAGTCATGCATTTCCATTCTACATTCCTATTCACAAGCAAAAATATAGAATCTCACAAAACATTACTAACCAGCGATCGGTGCTGCTCCTTCGGGATCTCGGATAGCGAAAACACGGGGTTCCACAGCTTGCCTCTTAGCTGGTGGTTCTGGCAATGCTCCCACTTCTTGATGAGGATTCGCATTCTCCGGGCAATCCCTCCTCTGATGGCCACTCTTCCCACAACAGTAGCACCGGTTAGTCCCTGCAACCAGGGCCGGCCCAATACGTTTGGACGCCTAAAGCCCATTTAACATATTAATAAAAAACTTCACAAATTGCTGCCCCTCAGACTCGAACTCTGTACTGTAGCCGCCTATTTAGACAAAAAACCACTGCACTACAACACATTTTTAATAATTGATGCCCTTATCCAATGTATATATTTTTGGCGCCCGAATCAAAGGCTTCACCTGCCTTAGTCCAGGGCCGGCCCTGCCTGCAACAGTGCAGTCCCTCTCATGGTGGCCAATACTACCACAGCCAAAATACTTGTGGGCGCCATACCTTCCTGGGTGCTTCTTTCCACACCTCTGACACATTACAGCTGCCCCTGGAGCTGCCATAGTGTCCCAAGTCCTCTTTGGCCCTTCCTGAGCACGGTTTGGACGGGACTGAACCTGCCTGACTCTCCTCAGCTCCTCAAACAAAGTCTCTTGGATGGCAGCTGTCTCCACAAGCTCCACCAAGGTGTCATATCTCCTAAGAGAACACCTGCTCCTCAGCTCCAACTTCAAGCCCTTCATAAACTGACGAACCAGATCTGCCTGCGTGAATTGCTTCCTGGAGAACCTCCTCAACCGATTGAACTCCTCCTTGTACTCCCTCACAGTACGGTTCGCCTGACGCAGGTCCTCAAAGGCACTCTCCATCTAATCCAAGGCTTCAGGTGGAAAATACTCTTTAGCAAAAGCTTCTTGGAAATCCCGGTAGGTCAACTCAGAACGACCTTGAGTAGCTTCGACCACACCATCCCACCATATCAGCGCCTCTTCTTTCAGATACTGAACAGCTAGATCCTTCCGGTAACCCTCCGGACATCTCATGGCTTCAAAATTCCTCTCCAACCTCTTCCTCCAGTTATCCGCAGACACTGGGTCAGACCTCCTGCCAAAGGCTTCCATTCCCATATCCTTTAAATGTTTCATGGCCTGATAATAGGTCAGCCCAAACACATTGACAGGTGCAGGAGGCGGTGGAGGCACATACTGCTGCTGAACAAACACTGGCGGCACTACCACAGGCGGCGGCTCAAACAATGGGGGCTGCACATGCTACTGCTGCTGATGCTGCGGCTGTTGCTGCTCCTGCTGAGCATTCACTCCCACTCCAGGGTTCAAGTGGCCATACATTTCCCGATAACGGCGCAACTCCTCCAGGACTGCAGCATGAGCTGCTTCTGCTGCTGGAGGCACTTGAACAGGCACACCTCCTGCAAGGTTCTCTCCCTGCTGATCCACTGGAGCTGGAGGCACAGTCTGCTGAGTCACTGGGGCAACACTTCCTGATGTGTCCGTGACCTCATCAGCACCACCTGAACGACGAGCTTGGGTCTTGCGCGCATTCTTTGCCCTCGGAGGCATCTGACAAGACATGGAGACAGATAAGTTAGCCCGGTCCCGTAAAGACTAACTTCTTGCAAAAGAAAAGAACAACAAAAACTAGAGAGGCTAGTCTAGGTGGTGGTTTTCTTTCTTTGAAAACATTTGGAAAATCTTTGAACTTGAAAAACTTGAAAACTTTTTAAAAAAAACTTTCTAAACCATTTTCCTTTTGAAATCCGAATCTCATTGCCACTATTCTAGACTTAGCTCTCTTAACACCTAGTTCGAACCATGCTCTGATACCAAATTGTAACACCCCGATTCCTGGTTCCGAAGGAAACCAAAATAAACCGGAATATTAACTAACATAAACTAAATAAATTCCAAATAACTAGTTGTTCTTTATTCAAATTCAAACCCAAATCCAAGTCTTACAATAGAAATGAAATAACTTATTAAATCCGAAATAAAATAGAAACATTGTCTTAAAAAGAAATATGAAATAGTTCTTAAAAACAATAAAACTTCCTCCATTTCTGAAGGCACACCACACTAGAACTACTCGTCTAGTTCTTCCCAGACATCATCACAATCACAATCACAATCACCTGCACATCGGAATTTAGAGAGAGAGGGGTGAGTAATTTAGGAGAATTACTCAGTGAGAATCAAACCAGGCTGCTGCCTTATTCATTTATTTCCACCAACATATTAAGAATAAATCTAATGAAACCAAACAAGCACTCTACAAGTGCACAAGCAACTAACAAGCAGCAATGTCTCCGATCCTGCCTCTCAATAGGCCAAACCACCTTGTCACTCGGACACAGGTCGACATCTCACCCTGTCACACAGACAGACGCCCTGTCACTCAGACAGAGACCCTGTCACACAGACAGTCCAATCCCGGCATGCCACATGGACAGCCTCGTGGGTCATCACTCCCCCGGATGAATGGATTATTGCCACGGTCACACAGACAACACATAATCCAGCAAACAAACCTGCATTCGGCACATTGCTATACCAGAAACAGATTATGACCTTTAGGACTTCTACCAATCACTAACCAATCAACAGGGTTATCAATCAATCATGCTGGTTCTTCCTCTAATGAGATCCTAAATCTTATTAGTAATATATATATATATATATGGATCTGCCTAGATGCACAAGCAGACAGACCTGTCCCACCAGATCTAGACTCAACACACCAGAAGAAGATAAATGGATAAGAAGAAAGACCTAGATCTAATCCTCACCTTGGCCTAAAAGCAGATCTAAGATTAAGGAGAACTAGAGAGGCAAAAGAATCAAGCAGCTTCTGAGAAGGTGGAGGCGGGCGAGTGCTCCTTCTTCTCTCGGCAAGCGGCGGCGGCGGCAAGCTTCTCTGGCGGCGGCGGCGGCTCTCCTCGGCGGCGTGCAGCTTCTCCTTCTCTCTCTCACTTTCTTTTCTTTGGGGGCTAGGGTAATTACAGGTAAAATAAGACTCATTAACTCTTACTTCCCTATTTATATTAGGGTTTCTGGAGTGGATCTGAATTTGCTGAGCCTCCTCTAATTGGGCTGAGTTTGGAATATTACACTTAAAATAAACGCAATGCAATAGTTAAGAAACTAGACATTTTAGAAAAGACCTTTTATATTTTCATTTTAGAAATTATATTTTAATTTCCCTTGTTATTTTTATAACGAATTATGTAAAGAGTTGTTCTTTAAAAGTTTGTAGGATAATATCTGTGAGTTTCCGCTCTCGTCGTGGTGTGTGGCGATTCATTCTCAATGTTTCAAGCTTAGTTCGATCCTGGAAAGATTGCTACATTTTGCTCTTACGTGTATTTGGAGGTATCTGTAGAGACGTGTATCTAGATTATAAACACAAAAATCATCATTTGCAATTGCAACTGTGTGAATTAATGATTAAGTTGATGTGTTCATCAGAATCCAAATGGCATTATTGATAGCTAAACCTTAAAACGCTTTAATGACAAAATTTTATCAAGAAAAAGAAAGTGGTTTAGAGCTTTTCATTCTCACACATTGTTCTTCTGTTTCCAGAAAGTGAAACCCCGTAAAAAAAGTCCATGAAGGTTGGTGTGTTACTGGTCCAATGCTTCACATTCCACAGCAGTGGGAGATGCATCTTCAGAGGGAATTAACACATTCAAATGGTAACTTCCTCTGATATACAGATACAAACAAACAAAAGACCCACAAATTTTTTATTAATCATCTCTCTTCTTTTCTTTTCTTTTCCTCAAGTTTTACTTTCTTGATTACACAATTGAGAGTTAAATTTCATCTATTTTGGTAAAGGACTCGAGACTTCTTTGTTTGTTCAGAAATCTTAGCAGTGAAATCAATTTCGAGACAGTAATCTATAATTCATAAAATGAATATGGGATGTTTCTATTTTATTTTTAGATTTGATATTCCTGGAACATGCTTACTGTTTTTTTTTTTTTTTTTTTTTTGCAAAGAACCTTTAGAGAACATGCTTATTGCAAAGAACCTCTAACAATAATACATCAATAAGCTCGCTCCTAAGCCTCTCTTATTTTGGAGGATACTTCTTCTGTTTTTGTTTATATCACTTTATACAATGTAATGTTATCCCCCTGAGGCTATGATCATTATTGCAGGAAGAAGTTTAATCTTCATGTTCCATCAAACGTAAAACCTATTATTTGTCGATAACTAAACTCATCCGATTTATTTATTTAGTTATAAGGGAAAAACTTGGTCATCTCTTGCTCTCGCGACTTAAGACATGATGAACAAGCTCCTTTGGCAGCTCCTTGTTCGCCTGCAAAAGCGGATTTGGTTCAAGATATGAGTGCCATTAACACAAAACTTTGTTAAGAGATGAAGGTTATTTGCTTTACTTGGAAGTGCCTCATGTGAAGTATTGGCTCACACCCAACATCAGCTATGAGTTTTCCTTGAGGAGTTTGCCTTTTGAATCGCTCGGCTTTGAATCCTCCGATTTTGTTTTCCACATCAGGTAGATTGTGGCAAACTTTCAAGAGAGAGTTGAGTGAATTCATCTGCATTACCACACAAGCTTTGCTTTTGATTGAGCATAGAAATTCACATAGCGATCACTATCAAATGAGTGATAACAATAAAGCAAGAACTAACCTTCATATATGGACATGATGCACATCCGCCATGAATAGAACAACCTTCACCGCCTGCTACTCCCGGTACAACCGGTAATGTCACATCACCGACTCTAAAGGAGTTTGGACCCTCTGAAGAAGTTTTTGTCATCGAGTCTGATGATACCGGAAACACTACTTCAACTTTCAGTTTCGAATTAGCAGAAGAACCTAGCAATTTCCTGATTACTGCGACTATAGATGTTACCATTCCCGACTCTGTTCCTAGAACAAACTGAAGATGGTCATCCACACTACGGTCCACTGCTTCTAGAACCTTCTGCTTGATGAAGTCTAGGATGTTTTGTGTCGATCCGACAACGCCCATATCTCTTTTCTTTGCTTCCATGGCTAATGAAAACATTTCACCTGGAACTTCGAGATGCGCAGTAAGAAAGGCGTCACAGTACATGTACTTTATTCTCTCCACCACCTCGTGACCGAAAAGATGATGTACAATACACGTTCCTTCCTGCAAACACAATCATATAAGCAAACCATCTTTTGACACTTGAGTACTGCCACCAACAAACAAAAAATAAGCAACAGTTACCTGGAAATAGTGAAGACGAGGAAGCAATGATTTAATGGAATCAAGGTTGTGTTTAGGGTGTATATTGGCGATTTCTTCATCAGTCATCAATGTCATTTGTTGGAATAACTTTACAATATTCGCTCCCATGTAAGAATCAGGACCGTACCATACATTTAACTCCGGCAATTGAGCAAACGCCTATTAATAGGAACAAAAAGCGTTTTAGAACATCAATATGAAGCAGAAGACAAAAAAGGTTGAAAGTAAGAAACAAAACCTGCAGGATCGTCTGTACAACATTAGATGAAGTGCAAGTAATGGTAGGTACAAGTTCGTGAGCAAAAGCTTTTGTCTCCAGAGATGTATTGATATAAACAACATGCAAAGAAGGCGAAGAAAGAGAAGCAGCTTCAAGATAGTTCAAGTAAGCAGGAGCAGAAGCAGCATCAGCCAGTGAACAACCAATGGTCTCATCAGACATTCTGTATACACCAACCTACAAACCGAAAAAAAAAATATGTACGAAGCACTATTACAGAACTAAATTAAGAGATACACAAAAACTCTCTAACCTCTCCAAACCCAGCTTGATCTAGTATGGCACGGACATTTTCAGACATAAAATCAACACCAAGAACTGTTATAAACTGACACCCAGCTTTTGCCATCTTGACAGCTGCATCTGCCATGATAAGAGAATCAGATATATAGATATGTGGCCAATGCTTCTGCGCAGCAGTCAAGACCCCTTGCACTTCTGGATCCATATAAAAGTGAGCAGACACTCCAATCTTCTTTTCCTTTAGCACCTTGACAAGTTCTTGAACTCGTGACTCCTCCGGAAACAAATATTTCGCCTTCAAGTCAAAAACAGAAACCCAAACGAAAAAACTTAGCCTTGCTAAAAGAGTTGAACACAAAACGAACGCAGATGAGCAGAACATCTATAACACTAGCTAACTAAATCAAACCGATCTACAAAGTAATGCAAAACCGATTTAGCTAATCCAGAAGAACGAGATTCCCTTCACTTTCTGATCTTCTGAAGAGAAATTACAGTGACAAGGAGCTTATTTGTCCATCTTCATACTCTAAATACTTAAAATACAATCAAAAAGAGATCTTTACTATAACATCAAACCGAAATCAGAAACAGAGAATTAAACAAAGAGGATTCTCACCTGAGCTTCAGCAAAGCTTCCTTTAGCCTCAATACCATCACAAGTTAACACTAACGAAGGAAACGGCTCAAAGGAAGGAGACTTTCCTTCCTTCTCCGCTACGAGCCGTCGTGTCTTCTTCTGCATACTCACAAGAACATTGTGCCACGTGTTCACCCTCGACCTCTCAACACCCAACAATCCAACGTTAAGCTCAACCAAATCCTCAGTCTTCAAATCCATTACTTCTTCAGGAGTAGCAGAATCAAACAGTTGAATCAGACAAGAACACATCCCTTTCGACACATCTGAGTCACTATCTGCCCAAAACCGCATCTTCCCGTCTTGACCGAGCTCAGCGTCTAGCCAGACACGAGCTGTACAGCCCATGACCCGGTTCGATTCGGTTTTGGATGAGTCGGGCATCGGAGGAATGAGACTCGCGTGACGAAGAACCCATTTGAGCCGATCGATTGGCTCAGTCAAGGATTTGAATTCTTTGACTAATCTCTGGAGCTTATGAGGCACGAGCTCTGTGGTTTGTGAGGAAGAGGAAGAGGCGATAGCTGAGATTGAGAATGGAGATGATTGAAGAGATTGGAATGATCTAAGGAGAGGGTTAATGGCGTGAATCCTCCTCGGGGAAGCGAAATTCAGATGGGTGGTTCTGAAATTAGGAGTAGGGTTTCGAGGGAGGGCGCGTGAGGAGGAAGACGAAGAAGAAGATGTTGGTGTAACGGAGAGAGCTAACGCCATTGAAAGAACTAGAACCAAAAGCTCTCTCTGTCTCTGCCTTGAATCTTTGACGATGATGAAGATGTAAAGTAGAAGAACGGATGGTTGTGAATTTTGATGCTGAGTGCAAAATGAAAGCGTTCCACTTTGAAAAAGTTTTATTATATGATGCAAATGAAATTATGAAACATTTTATTACGAGAAGCATTTCAATCAAACAAGAATGTTTTTCAACTTTTGAAAAACAAATTCTGGTAAGTGAAACTAACTTTATCCTCTGATTTATTAAACTTTATCACTAATACGACGACAAAAAAAAAATAAAACTTGATGACTAATACGGGTGTTTTAACATTAACAATTTTGTTTTTACATTTTCGACATTTAGGTCCTGTTCGTTTTTTTATCTAGATGTTGTATTTAGATTTTGTATTTAGATCAGCGTTTAGATACAACATCTAGATATTGTTTGTTTTTAAAACTAGGTTTTACATCAAGATGTTACGTCTAGATATTAAATTGTTCGTTTGTGAATTTAAAAAAATAGTTGGATACAAAATATATAAAATGACTAAAAAGAATTATTATTTTTTAATAAATAATATTTTTACCAAGTTAAGTTTTCAAAATACATGAAATTTTTTTTTTGCATTTTTTGTAGAAAACATGATTTTTTACATCGAAACGAACAAGACCTTAGATGACAAAAGTAACAATCTATCGAATAAAATTAGAGGTTCACACTAAATGAATAACATCTCTATATTATTATTTAAAAAATATTTTTGAAAATTAAAATTATTTTATAGTTTATTACATGAAATACTATAACAAATAATTAAAATAAAAAATTTAACTATTAAAAAATATAGAATTTTTTTCATTAAATAAAAAATTGATATTTAAATTTTAGTTATTGTAATCTTAAAATATTACATATTTAAAAAATAATATATCTATTTTATATATATTCAGATAATTTTTTTAAAAAAATTTGTAATATTTTTTTTCAGTTTATATTTTTATTATAATGTTATATGAGTTAAATAAACATGTTATTGTAGTTTAACAATTCTATTTATAATAATTAGTTATATATATAATAATAAATAAAAAAATATTAATTTTTTTTTTTAAATTACTCTGCATTAAACAACGGATTCAATCCTAGTATTGAAAACAATTGTCAATTTTCCTTTGAAATGGTAGAAGTCCACACAAAAAATACTATATGTATTTTAAAACTGTTGGATACTATAAGTTACTTTATCTACTCATATCTTTTCACTTGTATAAATATGTGTGTAAAACAGCAATCAAAAAAGATGATCACTTCTCCCTCTCTTCTCTATCGCACTTCCCTTCCTCTCTTCTGATATATAATATATAACTACATATATATATACTCATATATAAATACCCATAATTTTACCTATTAAATATATACAAAGGGAAAATTTACAAAACGTATCAGCACGAGCGCCTCTCGATCCGTTCTTATATTAAAAGAGGTAAGATTTAAGTTTATGTTCTATCTATTTTAAGTTTATATATTATTTCGGGATGATAGGTTGCACATTCCCCAAATCATTAAATTAAATTTATATTCAATTTATTTTCAAGTTTACGAGATGATAGGCTATACTTTCCCCAAACCAATCGTTATAATAGTCTATGCCTTCACGATCATATGATCATATGGTAGGCTATGTCTCATCGGATCATATTAATAGAGCGGAAGGGTAAGCCTCCTCATTGATTTTATATTTGTAGAGTAGAAGGTTATACCTCCTCTATAAAATTATGGTAGGCTCTGCCTCCTCAGTTATATTGAAGGTTCTGCTTTTATATTGCCTAAGTATATATTTTTATCATATATGCATATTCAAAAGTTTTTATCATGTTTCTTTAAAAACAAAAAATTAAAATTAAATTCTCACTAAATTTATGATATATATAGTTATCATGTCAAATTTGGCGAAGCTCGAAATCCCTGCCCTTGATGTGTTTGGAAAAAATTACATGTCATGGGCAGTAGGTGCAAAAATGCATCTAAGAGGAAACGGGCTTCTCGATACCATCGATAAGTCAGAAACGACATCATATGACAAAAAGACGAAAGCCATGATATTTTTGCTCCACCACATCGATAATAGTTTAAAAGAAGAATACATCATGGAAGAACATCCTGCAGATCTTTGGAAATCTCTCAAAGATAGGTTTGATCATCAGAAATATGTGATCTTACCGAAAGCCAAACATGAGTGGTTGAACCTCCGGTTCCAGGATTACAAAAGTGTTGGTGAATATAATTCTGCGATGTTCGGAATTACTTCCAGGATGATGTTATGTGGACAGGAGGTAAGTGATTTCGATATGATCGAAAAAACTCTCCAAACATTTCATCCTGAAAATGTAATCCTGCAACAACAATACCGGGCAAAAGATTACACCACTTACTCGGAGTTGATGCAAGTCCTCCTTGTGGCTGAACAAAATAATCAGCTCATGATGTTAAATCATCAAACTCGTCCAACTGGATCATCGCCATTCCCTGAAGCGAATGTTGCGTCATCCAGTGTAAATAATAGAACTGAACGCGGACGCGGACGCGGTCGAGGCCGTAACCGCGGTCGCAGACGAGGTCGAGGACGAGGTAGAAAAAATGATGTTGGTAGGGAAGCACGAAAGCAAAAAAACTGCTTGTTACAGATGCGGCATGAAAACTCATTGGGCAAAAACATGTCGCACGCCAAGACATTTAGCCGATCTGTACCGAGCATCACAAGATGCCAAAGAAAAGGATAAAGAAAAGAATTTTAAAACCAATTTCATCTCTGATGAAGCTGGACCTTCCTTTGATGGCATAAGTGATTATACTCATCTTGATATGGCTGATTTCCTTGTTGATCCTGAAGAATCAACGGAAACAAAGCGATTAAGATCGATGTAATATAAAGTCTTCTTGAAGAAGACAAGAAAAATCAATGTAATTTTAAATAAGAATGAAATATATTTTTGTTAACAAGAAAATGTTTTTCTTAATATAAAATAATTTCTAAAATCGTGTTTTTAGTCTATTAATGCATTTTCTTGCATATTGTGATCAGAATATGTCAGTGTTTGAGATTCAGGATGGAGATACATGTCTAGTAAACAGTGCTACGACAAATACTATACTTAAAGATAAAAAATATTTCTCCTGTCTCAAAATATTTCTCTGCTGGAAGCGTGAGTACCATATCTGGTAATGCAAACATTATAATAGGCTTTGGAAGAGCTTATTTTTCAATGCCAAGGGGGACAAAGTTTGAAATAAGTGATGCATTATATTCCCCCAAATCTAGTAGAAACTTGCTAAGTTTTAAAGATATCCGAGGAAATGGATATCATATACCAAGTACAAATAAGAATGGCATTGAATATCTTTGCATCACATCTGAGAGGAAACATGTATTGGAAGAATTACCAATGATGTCCTCTGGGTTATATTGCACAAACATAAATAAGATTGAATCCTATGTTACAATAAACCCAGGGTTTACTAGTACATTTAGAGTATGGCATGAAAAATTTGGCCATCCTGGATCAATCATGATGAGAAGAATTGTTCAAAATTCGAGTGGCCACCCATTGAAAAACCAGAAGATTTTTCAATCGAGAGAGTTTTCATGTCAGGCATGTTCTCAAGAAAAACTCATAACTAGGCCCTCGCCAGTCAAAGTTGGGATTGAATTTCCTGTATTCTTAGAGAGAATACATGGTGATATATGTGGGCCGATTCACCCACCGTGCGGGCCATTTAGATATTTTATGGTATTAATCGACGCATCTAGTAGATGGTCACATGTGTGTCTATTGACCACAAGAAATATGGCTTTCGCAAGATTCATTGCCCAAATAATCAGGTTGAGAGCGCAATTCCCTGATTATGCCATAAAGAAAGTCAGACTTGATAACGCTGGTGAATTCACTGCAGCGGCCTTTAATGACTATTGTATGTCATTAGGAATCGATGTTGAGCATCGGATTCCACATGTTCATACACAAAATGGCATGGCTGAGTCCTTGATTAAACGGTTGCAATTAATTGCAAGACCGTTAATATTGAGAACAAAACTCCCAGTTATTGTATGGAGACATGCTATATTGCATGCTGGGGCATTGGTCCAGATGAGGCCAAGTGCATATAATGAATATTCTCCAATACAGTTAACATCTAGCAAGGAGCCAAATGTATCCCATCTCCGTATTTTTGGATGTGCGGTCTATGTCTCAATAGCCCCACCGCAAAGAACAAAAATGGGGCCACAAAGGAGATTGGAAATATATATCGGCTATACGTCACCAAGTATAATAAGATATCTTGAACCGGTAACTGGAGATAAGTTTACGGCACGTTTTGCCGATTGTCACTTTGATGAAAATGAATTCCCAGCGTTGGGGGGAGGATCAATAGAATCACCAAAGGATATCACATGGTGTACATAAACCTTGGCTTATCTTGATCCCCCTACCCATCAACGCGAGGCGGAAGTTCAGAAAATTATACATTTGCAAAGTTTGGCAAACCAGTTACCTGATGCGTTCACAGATACGAGAAGAGTGACAAAATCATATATCTCCGCTGCTAATGCTCCATCAAAAATAAATTTTCTGGAACAAGTTAATGATGGGAATAAAGCAAATAAATCGCAGGTTCAATTAAAGCACGGGAGGCTGATGGGCTCGAAGGATAAAAATTCTCGAAAGAAAAAGAAATTGGGAGATAACGTTTCAGAAGAACCGAATAAAGAAAAATGTCTTGAAGACATTGGTGAAAAAGTTATAGAAGAACCATATAAAGATATATGTCCTGAAGACATACATGAAGAGGTTCCAGAAGAACCAGTTAAAGAAGTTTGTCCAGAAGACGAACATGATACTAAAAAGTATGAGATTTCCATTAAATTCGCCCAAAGTGGGACATTATGGGCTAGAAGTGAGATAAATGATACAAATGGAATGTTCTCCTTTTCGGT